TGTGTTGAATCTAGATTAACGGCACTCTAATTTATTGACTTTTGAATATCGTGGTAGCCTTTGCTTGCATTTCAGAAGCGAAAAAATGCGCCTCTTTTTCTACGGGCTGTCGGTGGGATGCTAGATTTAACACTTAATATTAATAAAAAAGAGTTTAGCGATCACCACTTTATTTGTTAATATTAACTATTAAGTTAATACTTAATTCTTAAAACTAAGTGTTAAGTGGGGATGTACAACTCACGCTCATGAGCGTGAGCGGCTTTTCTGTCTCAAATAGGAAAGGTATCTTGAGTTTAATTGTCTTTTTCATCAGGGAAGGGTGTTTTTGAAAAATAATGATATTTTATAAAGTTTGAGCAAAGGTAATCGGGGATCGGGGAATCTGAATCTATAATCGGTTTTTTGAAATTTTGAGTTTGTTTTTTTTGTACGAAAAAATCAAACTCAAAATTTCGAAAAACTGATTACAGATTCAGATTCTCCGACCGTGATTACCTTTGGTCAAACTTTATAAAATATCATTATTTTTCTAAAACACCCTTCCCTGATGAAAAAAAAATTAAACTCAAAATACCTTTTCTATTTGAGACAAGAAAAAACCGCTCATGCTTATGAGCGTGAGCTGTACACCCCTACTTAACAGTTAGTTTTAAGACTTAAGTATTAACTTAATAGTTAATTTTAAAAATAAAGTGGTGATCGCTAAACTCTTTTTTCATTAATATTAAATGTTAAGTAAAAACTGTAAATTTGATTTAAAGTTAAGTTAAAAGGACCATCCATAGGTCTTAGAACTCTTTCAGTCATATAATCTCTTGTAATAGTATCCTTTATTCCTTTATGTTATCTTTATTTTATAAAAAGTAATACTAAAGCACTAGCCCTAGTCATCATAGCTAAGCGAGTAAAAAACAATTGGTCGGCTATTGCACTTTGTGTAATCAAGCATCTTTCAGTTAACAGGACACTTCGAGATTCGGGACACGAAAAAGTTTGTTTCGCACAACTCTAGTATGAATCATTGAGTTGTGCGTGTAACCATTTCCGGTAGACTCTACTTGTGATAAATAGACGTCACATAAAAATTGTTTCATTCGTTTCCTTATTATGGTAACATCGAAAAATATTTACTGATACATATCAATAAAATATGATGTACTATTTTATTAATAGACTATATGATTGATTCTTACTAAAAATGTTAAATTTTTCTCCACAAAAAGATCAAGACATGGAAAATGAACATCAAAATTCAATAGATGATCAAAATATACATGGTCAAGATAATCAAGAATTTTTAACAGATGATACTAATATTGATATTAAACAATTTAATAAATATTCAAATCATAAGAATAATTTACAAATATCTTTTCATAAAGATAGTTCAGCGGTTGATATTAATCCATGTAATAGTACTTTACCATCATATGATAATAATCAAAATGAACAATCATCTTATGAGGAAGTAGCTGCAAATGTTTCGAATAAAGATGATCCAACTATGTCAGTTTTAACATTTCGTTCATGGCTTCTTGGACTAGTATTTACTTGTATTCTTTCGTTTGTTAATCAATTTTTCTTCTATAGAACATCACCATTAATTATTGATGTTCTTGTTGCTCAATTACTTTCACATCTATTTGGTAAACTTATGGCAAAAATATTACCTCATAGAAAATTTAGAATTTTTCGCTGGAATTTTTCTTTTAATCCAGGTCCATTTACTGTTAAAGAGCACTGTATTATTACAACACCCATGGCGTAAATTTCTGCGAAAAAAACGCGTTCTCAAAACGCATTTTTCCATAGTTGCGAAACGCGTTAATGCTGACCGGTTTAACGCATTTCACATCTGCTAATACGAACGCTGTGAAACGATCGTTTTTCTAAAAACGTTTCGTAGCGTTTCTCTAACTGTGGTGTCGTATATTCTAGATGAAAAAAAATGAAAACCGTCAAGTACTTCATGCACTTTGAGTTGCAGATACAATTATTTTACTCGCTTACATTTTTCATACACCTTTAGAGCTATAACTTAGATCAATTTTGATAAATCCAACACATAGATTCGAACACGAGAACATAAGAGTAGAAGACATGTGTACAAACCGTTCAACTAAAATAATCTAATGATATAAGTGCTTATTCTATAGTCTTTCAGAGTCTTCCGTAAACTTACTAAATTAGATTTTCAGTATCCCAAACCATTAAATTAAAAATTATCATTTCCTTGGTGCCTATACCCAATAACGAGTTTGATCTCCTCTTGGTATATTTTTTATTTGAACTTGTTTAAATTTAAATTTAAATACCCAATTGAAACGATTTTAATTAATTTAAATACCCAATTGAAACGATTTTAATTAATTTAAATTGTATCTAATATTTAAACAAGTTGAATCTCTTAGATATAAATTTTAAGAAATTTAAAAATAAATTTTTTGAATTGTTTTCTTTATTTGATAGATTTTTGTATATGTAAATTCGTCATCCTTTTATCCAAAAGTATCACTAAATGCAAAGAATCTTCTTTTGTAAATCGAATATTCTTTTTATTAATAAGTCACGCTTACATTATCAAAGTACGAACTAAATTCATATTTAATAATATTGTACACAGTATCATCAGTCACTATCAAGTAGTCCAAATATGAATTCATACCAATAATTATTCAAATTATAAATAACTCGAGATTCTTTTCTTCACAAATAAACAAACAAAGTTGTCGTACACATTATACTAGCATCAGTCTTTACTAAATCTTTTCGAATTGTTCAATATTTAAAACAATGCTTGGTTGAATGTTACGAAACACGTTTTCTTTCAATAAACACCTAGTGAAACGAGTTTTCAAGGAAGAAAAAAATATTTTTCTTACACTTTGATGTTCAATATTAGTCTAACTACCAATCAGACTTATAAAACAGTCTAGCAGCCTAAACATTTAGAAGAATTCTATTTTAATTTTGTGTTTGGAAAGTTTGGGTCATGATTTTCATGTTGAGAAACAGCGCAAGGAACAAAATATTCAAATCCAATTTAGTATAATTTCTAAAATAGTGCCAGAATTAACTTTGCTTAACTCGTACGTTTTGTACAGATAAATTCCTGCAAGATTCTGTATGCAGAATGGATATATTTTGCATCATTTCAAACAAAAACGATGCAAAATGCGTTTGAAAAGGAAACGCGTTTCACATTTCTCCGAATCTGTATCTCTGGAACGCGTTACCTATCGACCGAAATGCGTTCGACATTATTTTACTTCAAAAACGCTTCGAAACGCAATCTTGGAAAAACGCGTTTCAGATCGTTTCAAAAAACGACAGCAGCAAAACGCATTCTATCGAAGTAAGAATGCTGTGAAACGCGTTCTATATTGAAAAAACGCTGCGAAACGCATGCTGCAATCTCAGAAACGCGTTACGCAGTCCGTTTCCTTGAATATTTTACTCCATGGGCAATGGCTGCTACTGCAGCTGTGAGTTGTTCATATATGAAATGTATTAAAAGAGAATTTTTTTCTTTAATTTCAATAGGGTACAGCTTATGCGATTGATGTAATTACTATTCAACGATTATTTTATAAACAAACAATACATCCTGGTATTGGTATTATTTTTCTTATAACATCACAAATTCTAGGATATGGAATGGCTGGTATAATGAGAAGATTTCTTGTTTGGCCAGCAGCTATGATCTGGCCAGCAAATCTTGTTAATTGTGCACTTTTTCGAACTTTACATAATGATAAAGATAATGAAGATGATAATGAAAGATCACATTGGAGAACGTCTCGTTTAAAATTTTTCTTCTTAGCATTTCTTTTTCATTTTTTATGGTATTGGTTTCCTGGTTATATATTTCCAGTTTTATCAGCTTTCTCTTGGATTTGTATGATTAAACCTGATAATATTCTTCTTTCACAACTTACTGGGATTTATGGATTAGGAATTGGTTCAATTGAATTAGATTGGAATGCATGGGTAGCATTTCTTCGTTCACCTATTATTGTACCATTTTGGTAAAATAAAAATCAATAAATAAAAACAAATATTTCATATTATATTCATGTTTGATTATTCAATCTAGGGCTCAAGTTAATATTTTTGTTGGTTTTGTTGTCTTAGCATGGATAATAGCACCGGCTGCATATTATAGCAATCTATGGAATTCGAAAGTTTTACCAATTGTTAGTGTTCGAGTGTTTAATGAAGATGGACATTTTTATAATATTTCTGCTGTACTCAATTCACATCTTCGTTTAAATGAAACTGCCTATAAACTATACGGTATGTCGCTATTAATTAAGTGTATGATATATCTCACAGTTCAATGATTCTAAATCAGTTATTTTCTATATCAGCTAGTCTGATGACCAGTTCCTTTTTGTGCTCGTTGAATTATTGAAAAGCACGTTTATCCTATCCAATTAGTTTTTGAGAGCTCTAATTTTATGTCGCATAAGCTGAACTACACACGTGAACTGAAATGACGCTATCACATATATATTGGAAAGGATAAAATCTAGTTTTCAAACATCCAAATGCATATGATAAGAGTTAGATAGTTGATATGGAGCTGTCATACACTCAATTTTAGTTGTAATTATTAATACATATGTATAACCTATAGTGCGAGAATCTTTGCAGAGAATATTCAATCATTTTTTGGTCACTTAAATGTAGCTGATTAGAGCCAGAAGCAGATTTTTTTTTGTCACTCTTTGCGAGTACATATTTAGAATTTCCTTCTGAAGTAAGATTGGACAACTATTTCAAAAGGCTCAAAATAATGGTAGTTGTTTCAAGATACAAACTAAGAACGGCGTTAAAACCGCTATTATGCTTCGTACAGATACAGTTTTGAACTTTTACACAAAATTTATTGATAGTTGTTCAATCTTATTCCGGAAGGAAAATTTGAATTGCGAAAAATTTCGACTCTGCTTCTACCTAGTGGTCTGTCTTTTAGTAACTGAAAAATGAGAAAATATTTTGTGCCAAGACTTACACGCTACTGGTTACATATATTTTTTTTTAGGTGAACTTCGAATGACACCAATGTTTGCTTTTTCTTATGGTATCTCGTTTGCTGCAATTACTGCAGTTATTATTCATACCATATTATATCAAGGTAAACATCTATTTAAATGAATAATATGAATATGATCTTTCATATATTATGAAAAACAAACAAACAGGTAAAACGATAATAAAACAATTTCGATCATCTTTAAAAGACAATACTGGAGATATTCATGCTAAACTTATGTCTCATTATAAAGAAGCACCAAAATGGTGGTATGTATTTTAAATTATTAATGAAATATAATTTATTGAATATCTATTAGGTATACTGTTCTATTTGTTGTGGCATTTATTTTAGCAGCTATTGTTTGTCATTTTGGTGAATTAATGCCATGGTATTATCTTTTTCGTAAGTTTATATAAGTATATTGAACATAGGATTTGATTTAACAATTTTATATAGTTGCTGTTGCTATTGCATTTTTTTTTCTTTTACCAACGGGAATTGTTCAAGCTGTAACAAATCAAGCAATTGGTAGGAGAAAAAAAACCAAATATTATTTTCTATTTAATAAACAAATCTCTCTTAAGGACTTAATGTTATTACTGAATTCACAATTGGTGTAGCGAGGCCTGGTGATCCATTAGCAAATGTTACATTTAAAACATATGGTTATATTACTCAATATCAAGCATTATTACTTGTATCTGATTTAAAATTAGGTCATTATATGAAAGTATTATTTATAATTGTTTGGTACGTTTTTTTTCCTCTCTAAGATAATTTGTTTTAGATTCCTCCTCGTGCAATGTTTATTACTCAATTAACAGGTACAATTATTGCTGGAATAATAAATTTTCTGACAGCTAATTATTTAATGAATACTATTCCAAATATTTGTACTCAAGAAAATTTACATTGGACATGTCCAAATGCGAATACATTTTTTAGTGCATCAATTATTTGGGGAGCTATTGGTATGTAAGATTTAACTTTTTTAAATAGACTAAATAAAATTTTTTCTTAGGACCAATAAAAATGTTTGGTAAAGGAGCAACTTATTCTTATCTTCTTTATGGTTTTCTTATTGGTGGTGTTCTTCCAATATTAGGATGGATTCTTATGAAAACATTTCCTAAAATAGAATGGCTTAAATATATTCATTTTCCTATTATGTTATCAGCTACAGCTATGATGCCACCTGCTCCACCAGGTAATTATCCATCATGGCTGTTAGTTGGTTTTATCTTTAATTTTATTCTTGCACGTTATGCGCGATCATGGTGGAAACGATATGCATATGTATTTTCACGTGACCCGACAGTTGAGCTTCCGACAGATGAGCCCCGACAGTTGAGCCCCGACAAATGAGCCCTCGACAGTTGAGCCTACCGACAGTTGAGCCTACCGACAGTTGAGCTCCCGACAAATGAGCTCCCGACACTTGAGCCTCATATTAAAAAGAATTCAATAAAACCTGATGAATAATACGTCGTGGTGGATCATGCGATATTGTTGCACCAGAACTGATATTTGATTTGAATTCCACTGATATTGTTTCTTCAGGATTTGGTGCATGAAGATGATCCGTAACTTTAATATAACCTGTTCCATCAAAACGTACACGACCAGCACAGTCATTTCGACAACAACGCCAAATAATTTGAGATTTATTTGCACGACGATAACGATAACCACTAAGTAAAAGTTGATCTTTGTTTTTTGAAGATTTCACGATTGACATTGTTAATGATAATAGAAAAATTTACCAAGAATGATAAAACCTTTATGAGTCACAGAAATATTGTTCGAAAAACTTGTTCATTTCTGTACAGATGATTGACTTAGCCACGAAAAATATATCGACGAGCCATCAGTACCCTCGAAAGATGTCTCATGTTTCCGTGCACTATTTTCAAGTGAATTAAGCGATTCAATAATAATTTCATGTGTTCTATATTTAATCGATGAAATTTCAATTTTGTGAGGCTCAAATGTCGGGAGCTCATTTGTCGGGAGCTCAACTGTCGGTAGGCTCAACTGTCGGTAGGCTCAACTGTCGAGGGCTCATTTGTCGGGGCTCAACTGTCGGGGCTCATCTGTCGGGGGCTCAACTGTCGGTGCACCGTATTTTCAGCTGCTATGGATAGTAGTGTTGCTTTTTGTGCAATTATTATTTTTTTTGTATTACAAAATAATAATATAGAATTTCCAACATGGTGGGGAACTGGTGGAGATACAGGAGATGGTTGCCCACTTTCACATGCGAATTATTATGGAATTATGCCAAGAAATTGACCGATTACAAATACTAATTGAACTTTATTTATTTGTTTTTTATATATATTTATTTTAAATAAGAATTATTGTTTATTCCATTGATAGAAAATTATCTAATACTAAATCTTAAATGAAATAAACAAAAATAACAGTTTTGACGAAATTTCTTGAACGAAAAAACTGTGTCTACAATAAACAAATCGTAGATAATTTAAATTTTATTCGAATAATCTGATAAAGAAAGTCTTCCAACTGATTAATCGTTTTTGAGTCAGGACTATGTGCATATCATGTAGACTTAAATGAGCTTTGAATATTCTGAAGATTTTCCGTCCTCAGTTTATCGTTGTGTAGATACTGCAAATATACAGTGGTTTTTAAAAGAACACTAAGGTCCCTCTCAGGAACAGCAAAAAAACTGGGTGTGAGTGTGGATAAAAAGAACACCCACAGCCACAGCCTTTCTTACTTTTTGTGAAAATTTCATATGGACAACGGATTATTTTGTGCCTTTTTTTCCATATTTTGTAAAAATCTTTAATTTTGAAATGATTTCATCTTATACAATATTGGGGTGTGGGTGTGGGTGTGTGGGCGGAAGTTGGTATTGATTTCACAACCAGACCCACACCCACACCCACACCCACACCCACACCCACACCCACACCCACACCCACACCCACACCCACACCCACACCCAATATCAT